GAGGTGGACGGTGCAGGTCTAACGTTAACTTGGGGAAATTTACATCCTTTTTATATCTTTAGAGCTAATCACTAATCATTGCAGCTAAGTGTAGTTTACTTAGTGCTAAGTGTAAAGTGTAATTGCTAATCATTAATCGTTAAATGCTAATTGCTAATCATTAATCGTTAAGCGTAATCGCTAATCGTTAATCGTTAAGCGTAATCGCTAATCATTAATCGTTAATCTTTAAGCGTACTACTTATCTGCTAAATTCTACTATAATAATAATAACTAAATAAGACTAAATGATAATAATAAAATAAATAATATCAGAATAATAAACTAATAAAATAATAAACTGTTCTATAACAATATTTTAAAAATAGGTTTCTTCGCTCAAAATTTATAAAAATATAGTTAAAAAAATTCAAAATTTTTACTGTTTAATCAGCTAACTAAAAGATCTAGTAGGACAATAAATATTAAACTAAGAAATTAATATTTAATAAAGAATCTTTAAAATTCTTAATTTTTAAATAATATTTTATAAAAAAGAAAATTTTTCTAGTTTTTGTAGTAGATAATTATCATATAATCATAGTAATTTAAAAAGTGCAGTAAAATAGAATAAATTATTTTATAAATATACCAAGAGCTAAATTACTTGCTTTATCTAAAATATTCATAATACTTTGATTAACTTTAACTATTTTTGTGTTTAATAATCATCCAGCTAATAATTGTCTCGATAGTGGTTGATAACCAGGTTATAATACCCATAATATATCAATAAAATATGGATTATTAATAATATAAAAAAGTATATTACACACTATAAATGCTTTTATTAAAGCTAAATTAATATTATTTTTATATTGTGGAGTTAGTTCAGTACTCTCTAAAAATTTAGATAATAATGTTTGACTACTTATAATCTTGCATTTTCTTTTACTTAAATTAGAACTAAATATAATCTCTTGAGGTAATACTTGACTATAACCTTGTCGATTAGCAACAACTTGAACATAAAACTCTATAATATCTTTATCTTGATTTAGGCAATTTAAAGCTAAATATTTCTTCAAATCTACAGGTTTTCCACATGTTCAAAATACACCACATACTTTATACTATTCTGAATAATAACCTTTTACAGAAACACCTTTGTTAAAAAAATTCTAAATACCTGCAATTAGCCATCTCGCAAGTTTTTTAAAAGTAAATATTTGAGGATTTTCTTGAAAATTTTGGTAACTTTCTTCTTGAAAATTTTCTTGATGACTTACTTCTTGAAAATTTTCTTCTTGGAAGTCTTCATGAAAAGTTTCTTCTAAATTTTCATAAGATTTATTCATTTCGCACAAGATAATAAGATTAAAAAATTGAAATAAATTTTTTTATAATCTGAAATAATTTTGTAAGATATGATAAATTACAAAATATATATATTCGTATTTAACTATAAGAATTTAAATCAATAAATTTAGAAGTATTGTCTAATTATAATAACTTGCTAAATTAAATATATAGATTAAGATGAAATGACAATATAGTTATTATTGTAAGATCTGATGATTTTATATAATCATATATTGAATTGTCACTTTAGTCTTTTATAACTATTTGTGACAAACTATATAAATATTAGTTAATTAGTATAGAAGTATAGAGCATTATCATAAGTTTAAAGCATAATATCAGAAGGGCAATGATTTGCAAAAACAGTATCAGTTAATTTGTAATAAAAGTATAGAACATTATATAATATCCCTTAAATTGTAATACAGGCAAATTTGCTTGCATTCATTTTTTTAAACTCTAATTTTTTAATAAAATCTTAAA